CTGTCCCCAACGGCGAGGTCTGATGGGCAGAGGAAGGGGGAGGGGCCCGAAGAGGGTTGGGGAGCTGGTGGCACTGTGCACGAGCGCCAGATGAGTTAGAGCCTTCTATAGAAGCTAAACATAAGGACTGCTGGGGCCAAACTCTCTTTCCCGGGGCCTCGGGAGCCTGGACAAACCTCCAGATGCCTGACCAATGCAGGAAATGGGGAGCCGCCCACAGGCCTGGAAGATGAGCATTTTGGCAGCAATGGTAGACTTAAAACTTAGGACATCCCCAAATTTCTGGACTGCATGGGCCCCTAGAACTCTCGTCTCTACCCCAGGGAGAAAAAGGGCTCCCTACCAGCAAGTCACTCCTAATACTGGGTCTCCCACCCACCCTGCCAAGGGGGAGGCTTAGAGCTCGATTTAACTCGTTCTGGAAAAATTAACTTTTATATGTTGTCTCACACCTGCAGGTCATGGAACAAACTCACACCCACCACCAGGCCCACATAGTTACAGGCCAACTTCACACGTTACAGGAGCATTCCCACTCACGGTAGTGGTGACCACATCGCCAGATGGCAAGACCCCACACCGAAGCCAAGCGTTCCACCTGTGGTGTAGCAGCACCCCAGCCCTCAAAGCACCTGGGGTGCCCAAGAGGAGACCCCAGATGATGTCTCAGGTCTGCCCCAACTCACAAACTATCTGGAGAGAGAAGCACAAGACTCCCCTTCCTTACCGCTGCTTCCTGGCAGAACTGGTGGAGTGACCATAGCCCTCTCCTGTGGCTTAAAGGAGCCGCTTTCAAGTCCCCGAGGACCCTGAACTCCCCTTTTTCCCCCGGCAAACCGAGAAGCACAGCGCCACAAAGACCTCCTTTCTCTCCGTCCGAACGGGGCCATTATCCTCGCGAACGAAGCCGAGTGGGGGTTTTTTAAACCCTCCTGAATAAAGGCTCTGGTCCAACCGCCCCTCTGTCGAGGTGACTGGAGAGCTGGGAAAGGAGTCCGGCCTGGGCTGAGCCGGCAAACGGGGATATTTACGAACCACGGTGGGGACAGGACCTGCGCGGGAGCTGGGGAAACCTCCGCAAAGCCCCGCGTCTTCGTTCAAGCTGTCATCTTCGATCCCCATAGAGGTTTCTTTTTCCCCCAGAAAAAAAAGAGCTCAAGCCGCCCCTCAGAACACCATTTCACCTTTGCCCACGGGCTCTGCCAGGTGCAAGGAGCCACATCTCCCACGTGGAAGGCGAGAACGAACGAGACGACTAACAGACACGGAAAGGCAGTCCGCTGGAGTCCGCGAGACCACGTAGAATGTCCCTGTTCCTTCCCCCTAACGGTCTACCATTTTGAGGGTTACAATCTGCTGTTCTCCATAGGTCTTAAGACGTTCCAAGGACACAAGGATGTGGCTAAACTAAGTCCCATACATTGGTTTGGAGGTGACGCGTAGCAATTAAAAAAAAAAATCAATGAACTGCAAAACATATAGAAAAAAAATTAAAAATTAATAAAAAACTTTTTAAAAAACCATTGAGTTGCTTCCAGTTGTAATGTGTAACAACCAGTCTGAGAAGACTTTCAAACCAGCATATGGGAAGCAAAACTTACTGGCAGTAGTGACTAAGGACCTCTTCCAGGGTGACTTCAGGGCATTATGAAGCCAATGAGACAATCACACCCCAAGGAACACTTCCCAGTCCCCAACATTTTCATCGAACAAATAGCTCAATCATGACCATGGGCCTAAAAGAGCACATTTCTCTGTCAACGAGACAGCAGGCAACCAGCCAGCCATGACACACCATTCCACTTGCCTTCTCTTGCTGGTTTCCTGAGGTTCGATAGCTTTGGCCAGCATCTCCTTATAGATCGGAGATTTTAAATAGCGAGCATAAGAATCCTGGTGGGAACAAGAGAAAAACAGGAACGATGAGAGAGAAAGTGTCTAATCAAACGAACACACTTGCCATTTTCAAGCCCTCCCTTGGCGATTAGATGGCAAGGTTAAAGAATGTGTCTCCTCATGTGAAAGGCGTTTTGGTGTGTGCCCAAAGCAGTGAATCTCCACTGTGATCCCGAACCGCAGGATCCATTTCACCCAGCAGCTTGCTAGAAATTCACATTCTCAGGCCCACCCCAGTCCTACCGAAATAGAAACTCTGGGGTTGGGGGGACAATCTGAGCCTTAACAAGCCTCCAGGTGATTCTGTTGCACGTAGGTCAGAGAATCAGTGATGATAGCCTCCCCCACGCCAAAATCCATGCCGGGGGCGACTCAGTGAGGCCGGCACGAGACGAGAGGACACCTGTGGCCAGCCTCGCCCACCCAATACCTTCTTCCAAGAAAGAGGAGCCGCCATGAGCCTGCGGGCCCACCTTGAAACTTGCTAACATTCCTTTCCGCCCTGGATTTGAGTATAAAGGCAAGAGAAGATCAAGATAAGACCAAGGTGCAGACTTCTCCTGTGTGGATCTCTCCAGGGACCGCGGACAGGTTCCGAGCCGTCACTTCATAAATGCTACCTGCTTCTGAGCACACTCAACCCTCTGGTCACAAGTCCAGGGCAAAGCTCACAGCGACAAGCAGGGAGTGAGAATGTCTACATGTATTGGAGGAGACCATTCTAAGGACTGAATGGTAGCAGTAAAAGTCATGAGAACAGGACAGAGTCTGGGAATAGGAACTGCGGACACAGTGGGTCGTGTCAAATTCACTGTCGTAGGACATGGCCTGTAGCGACATGCAGTCCAGGAAGCGTAAATATCATTCAGTTACCCATGACTCTGTTTTGTTCTGGCTAGTAGCTGGTCTCCCTGGGCATCTCCCTAAAAAGTTATATGAAAACCACATTTCTGAATTCTAAAATACATTAAAGAAGACCATTATTAAAGAAATCCTGCTGTAAATCTTCTAAGGTGAATGCAGAAAATCACCCACCGATGAATAATAAATGGTAAAAGAAATGGCTAATGTGGCTTGGTGAAAATTCTAAATTATTACATATTTTAAAAGCAAAGTAAAACTATCTCTTTATAATATGATATACATAAAAGACTAAGGAAAATAAGTATAACAAGGAAAACTAATTTTAAAAATTCCATTCACACAAACCTATATCATATAACAGAGTTTCTAGAAATACTTTGCCATAAAAGGAATAATTGCCATATGAGAAGTTGAAGCTTATGAAGAAAGTCTCGTTGGGCACAGCACCAAATAGGAACCGTACCAGACAACTTCTCTAAGGCTAACCCTGAGCCTCACATTCTAATTTCTTAAGAAAGTGATTTATTTTCTCTCGGGTTCCCTTTATTTTTTAAAAAAACAATTTCCTGAAAATTCTCATCACATTCACTTTATATTAATAAGAAGGCTATCTGATTTCTCACAGGGTTTTTAACATAAGTACACACACTAAACCTTCCATATGTTCCATTTTTTTCCTTTTTTTAATTTAATTTTATTATTAGTTTCAAGTATAAAGTACATCGGTTAGATGTTTATACTGTTTATAAAATGATCCCCATAATTGCTCGTTCTCTCCTTTGGCTCTCCACGTGGCCATCACATTAATGCTAACCGCACTCCCTATGCCGTGCTCCCCATCCCCGTGCTCCCCATCCCGGTGACCATCTATTAACTGCTCATTCATACTTATTTAACCCTTCACCCCACTCTCCCAGCCCCCAGCCCCTCTCCCCTCTGGCCATCACCCAATTGTCCTCTGTATTTGTGAGTCTGTTTTCGATTAGTTTGTTCTTTTGGTTCCTTAGATTCCACACATAAGTGAAATCATGTGGTGTTCATCTCTCTCTGTCTGACTTATTTTACTCAGCCTAACCTTTAGGTCCATCCATGTCATTGCAAATGGAAGGATTTCATTTTTTAATGGCTGAGTAATATTCTATTGCATTATATGAACCATAACTTCTTTATTCAGTTTTCTGTTGATGGGCATTCAGGTTGCTTCCATATCGTGGCTATTGTAAATTGTGCTGCTATGAACGGAGGAGTGCGTAGATCTTGACGAGTTATTGTTTTGGTACTCTTTGGATAAATACCCATATGTCACTTTTGCTGAGGGCCAGGGCCACCAGAATGGCCACGATTCAACAGTGGAGACTAAGAGCCTGGGTTAGGACTCGGGGAGACGCAGTTTGAACCTGGGCTCCACCTCTGGTGAGACCCTGGGCAAACCACTGGCCTCTGAGGAAACAATCCCCGCCTCGTGGGATGTCTGCTACAAAGTTCCATGCTTTGCGCAGCGATGACACTGTGTAATCCTTTGTAAACGATAGCTCTTAGAGCAAGACGGTCATGACTAATGTCATCACTGCCCATGAGACCACAGACCGCTTCCCCCAGTGGTCCTCCCCAGCCAGTGAGCTTGGGAGCTCAAAGAGGTTCCAGCCCAGTGGACAGGTGGAAGAGACGTTGACAGGTCTGCATCCCAACACCAGCAAAGCAGTAGCCACATATCATCTCCCTTCTCCCCTGCGTCTAAAGAACTTTGCAGGTCCCTGGGGAGGGAAAGGCTTCCGGGCCCCCAGGACCCTCAGCACGGGCCCCACTTACCTTCTTCATGAGCATGTAGATGTGGGTCTGTGCCGCATCCAGCACATAGCGGTGGGGGTGCCTCAGCCCCTTGACCGTGATGTCCATGGTTTTGCCATCTATGTTGATCCATCTTCTTGCCCCTGGGGCCAGGAACAGCCTGGGATGGGGAGGGAAAGGCTAGCAAAAGAAGCTAAACCAAGTCGGTTAATGAATAGTTCCCAACTGCTTGGGAGGGAAGGATGGACAGAACTCGGGCCTCCCGAGATGAAAGTGGTCCTTTTTCAGAAGACACTAGAGTTTGAACAGGTTGTCGAGCAATATTTCTCAGAAGCAAGAAAACAGCCATGCCAGTATTGCCCACGTGACTATTTAGCTTCTCTGTTCCCACGTCTAGGACAGAGAGCAGAAAGTAGCTGGGGGGGCCCTGGCCCTGGGGGCGAAGAACCCAGCGTCTGACTTAATGCCCCTGCCTCCTTAGTTACCAGGATTCAGGTCAAGACACCTCCACCAGGTGTTTCACGGCCTCAGCTCCCCTCTGCCCAGTCGAGATGTGTTTGGAGGTGAATCCCGAACGTTCTGTTGGGAGGCAGCCCACTGACCCAGCACCCAGAGGTTTGCTGACCTGTGCATCTTTGACAGCCCCATGACAACCCCAACTCGGCCATGCTCCCTGAGTCCTTCGGCTCCCACTGGGACTTCGGGCACTCTCCAATCTTTCCCAGCTCAGTTATTGATTAGGGTGTTCCTGCCACACTCCTAAGCTGCACATTAAACTTTGGGGATGCAGACTAAGATTACATAACGGGGGAGCCTGGGGAGGAAGGAAGCTCATACAAAGATATAGGCAGTGAGGTTCCTTTGGAACAGATTTTTGGAATTAGGAGTTGTGCATGGGTCATCGTGTGCAAGGCAGCCAAGCACCCCCGTCCTGGGGAAGGATGGCACGGGACCCACCTGGACCGACAATACCTCCCTGACCCCCACTTCTCCTGGAGTGCAGAGTGCCTCCCTGTGAGAGGAAGTGGGCAAACGTTTGAGGAAGTACAGGTGCCTCCAGGTATGTGGCCCCGGGTTCTTCGGCACTGTTACTGCCTCTCTAAATTGAGAAAACTGGGATGGTCCAGTCTGAGCCCGTTCGAAGGAAGGACAGTACAGGCACAAAGGGATAAGTGCTCAGAGAGGTGGGCATCTGGCCTGCCGCCCGCAGCTCAGCACCACAGCCCAATGGTTGCAGACGCCTGGCTCTAGCTCAGGGGCGATTGGGCTTCGGGAATCACAGCTGAGCGTGAGTATGCACTAAATGCGCTGGGCCCTCAGAGATAAAGCCTGGTGTCCACCATTGCCAGCGCAGAGAGGACCAGCAAGGACGTGACCACAGCAAGACGGGAGCACTTTCCAGGTGGGGGAGGTGGGTGGGCGGCAGGTCTCAGCAGCTGTGCACCTCAGCAGTACCCGTGGCCTCATGGCATCTCCCCTTCCCTAGCCACCTGCCCTTCGGAACTGGAACCCATGGCTCTTGAGTAGTTTGGAGGAAAGCCAGGCCTGCAGAGGGGCAGACTAATTGCTATGCTGAGCAAGTAAGGGCTAAAGAGCTGTGCCCCACATTTGTAACCCAAGCTGGGCTCGCTGTCCCAGACACTTGGGGAACCTCCATCCCCTTCTCGGGCCTTAACTCTCTAAGGTGGTCTGTGGAATAGGTTTTCCCATCTTACCTATTTCCTTTCTCCTCTCTCTCAAACACGCACGCGCACATGCGCCCACCCCTACCTCCCAGGAGACCGAGGGGGTTTATTCAAAGACAGAGCCCTGTAATTCAAGGCAGCTTGCTTTTCTAACTCTTAAGCACATTCTCCTAAGAGCAGGGGAATCCTTGCGAAGCAGCAGCGGGCTATTTATAGCATGGCAGGTGCATCGGCTGACAGCTGACGTCGACGCGAGGGATGCGGGACCTCAAAAGCAATGGGGTGGCCAGCTGGGGGCCCAAGGGGAAGCTCTCCGACAATCTGGCTAATCCTCACTTGTAAATCTCCTCTGCTTTCTCCTTGACCTTGGACTGATCTCCATACTTCAGATCTTCACAGGCTTCCCAGAATCCCAGATTCTCCCCTGCACAGGGAGGAGTGGGGTCCACGCAGACGAAAGCCAGACAGGAAACGAGTCGGGAGAAGAAAAGAGGAAAGAAAAGAAATGGGTCAGCTGGGAGGGATTCGGTTTCCCAGAGTGACGATCATCTGCCTTCTGCAAAACGAGCCACGGCACAGTATGGGGCTGGGCAGAACACCCCTGGAGGCAAGGAGCCGGGTCTCCCTGCCAGGCCCCGGGAGAGTGCCCTTAACCCAGTGACCGGTCCACATGTGTTCTCTGAAATGCACCAGACTGCCACCCGCCATGCCCGCAGCCACACGTGTCTAATGCGAACACTGCTCTTTCCCCCACGGTACACAGCTCGGAGCTCTTGTCAGCCCCAGAGGTTGTCACGTTCCTTTTTTGTCCTAGGATTGGCTGTAGCAAATGTGTTTGAACAAGTCTGCAGGTGACTGGGCTTGTAAACAGGTATTGCTACATGACAGGTTGTCTTCATGAAGGGTCCTGTTTACTCTGCAGGTGTCAGCCACTGCATGTGACTTCTGCCTCCCCTGTTTGTGTGTGAGAGCCCGTCTTTTAAAAGCCCTCGAGGGCATGTTCCAGCCGAAGGTCCTCACAGAGAGACTGCTCACGCCACAATGCTGATGCGGACTCTCAGAAAAGGCCTGGCCACTAGGGGGACGGTCACCTGAGCCAGAGGGACGACGCTCCTCTGGCCAGAGTCCTCCCAATCCTTCAGTTCCTTCCAACTTGAAGTTCTCTGGCCAGTTCTCCCCAGCACCCAGAGTGGTGTGCACACTGGGTACAGTCACCCCAGGTGGCAGTTTTTGCCTGAGAAAATACGATGATCACGCCAATGGGACAGCAGAAGCCTGCATGTGCATGTGTGTGAATGTGTGCGTTTGTGTATGTGTGTGCCTGTGTGCATGTGTGTGAATGTGTGTATGTATGTCTTGTGTGTGAAAGTGTGTGTATGTGTGTGCCTGTGTGCATGTGTGTGAATGTGTATGTGTGTATGCCTTGTGTTCATGTGTGTGCCTTGTGCCTCGTGTGTATGTGTGTGCTTGTGTGCTCGTGGCCTTCTGCATGTAAATGTGTATGCATATGTTGTGTGCCTTGTGCATGAATGTGTGCATGTGTGTATGTGTGTGCCTTGTGTGTGAATGTGTGTGCCTTCTGTGAATGTGTATGCACATATGTGTGTGCCTTGAGTATGTGAATGTATGCACCTTGTGTGTATGGATGTGTGTTCTGGTATGTGTGTGCCTTGTGTGCATGTGTGTGAATGTGTGTATGTGTGTACCTTGTGTGCATGTGTGTGCATGTGTATGTGTGCGTGTGTGTGCATGTGTCCATGTGTGTGTGTGTCATGTGTGTGGATGTGTGCATGCATGTGTGTGCCTTGTGTGCATGTATGTGAATATGTGTATGTGTATATGCGAGTGCCTGAGTGTGAATGTGTATGTGTATGTGTGTTCCTTGTGTGTGAATGTGTATGCATGTGTGTGCCTTGTGTGGACTTACATGAATTTGTGTATATGCGAGTGCATGAGTGTGAATGTGTATATGTGTGTGTGTTCCTTGTGTGTGTGAATGTGTACACCTTGTGTGTGAATGTGTGCTTGTGTATGTATGTGAATGTGCGTGCATGTGTGTGAATGTGTGCATGTGTGTGTGTGAATGTGTGCACATGTATGTGTGTGCCGTGTGTGTGCATGTGCATGTGTGTGAGTGTGTGCATGTGTGTGTGCGCCTTGCGTATGCATGTGAATGTGTGTGCATGTGTGTGAATGTGTGTGGATGTGTGTGGATGTGTGTACATGTATGTGTGTGCCTTGTGTGTGCATGTGCATGTGTGTGAATGTGTGTGAATGTGTGCGTGTATGTGTGTGCCTTGTGTATGCATGTGAATGTGTGTGTGTGTGTGAATGTGTGTACATGTGTGCGTCTTGTGTATGCATGTGCGTGTGTGTGCGTGTGTGTGCATGTGTGCGTGTGTGTGAATGTGTGTACATGTATGTGTGTGCCTTGTGTGTGCATGTGCATGTGTGTGCATGTGTGTGAATGTGTGTGTGTATGTATGTGGATGTGTGTACATGTGTGTGTGTCTTGTGTATGCATGTGCATGTGTGTGAATGTGTGTGCATGCGTGCATGTATATGTATGTGGATGTGTGTACATGTATGTATGTGCCTTGTGTATGCATGTGAATATGTGTGCATGTGTGTGAATGTGTGCAGGTGTATGTGTGTGGATGTGTGTACATGTATGTGTGCGCCTTGTGTATGCATGTGAATGTGTGTGCATGTGTGTGCGTGTGTATGTGCGTGAATGTGTGCATGTATGTGTGCGCCTTGTGTATGCGTGTGCATGTGTGTGCATGTGTGTGCATGTGTGCGTGTATCTGTGCGTGCGTGCATGAGAATCACGGAAAGCCAGTGCGTGGGGAAACAGACAAAGGAAGACCCTTCCTCCTCCCTCACAGTGGTTTTGGAAAAAGCCTCCGGGTACTTCAGACTGGCACGATTCTTAGCTACTTGACATCTGTCCCCAGACGCTACGGTCCTTCCTCTGCGGTTCAAGCTTCAGGTTGTTCTTAGGACGGAGATCGCAGACCTGGATGCTCAAATGAACATCAAGTGCAATGCAGATCATCTTGCCCGTGGCAAAAAATGATTAATTGCTTAAGGTTAACATTAAATGAGCAATTATTCACAAGAGCCAAAAGGTGGAAACCACCCAAACGCCCATCAATGGAGGAATGGATAAGCAAAACGAGGTTACTCACATACCACAGAATACCGTTCAGCCTTAAAAAGGAACGAAATTCTGACACAAGGTACAACATGGATGAACCTTGAAAAATCTATGCTAAGTAAAATATGCCAAACAGAAAAGGACAAGTATTGTACGATTCCACTTACATGAGGCACCTAGAAATAGTCAGATTCATAGAGACAGAAAGTAGAATGGTGGTTGCCAGGAGAGATGAGGGAGGAGTTAGTGTCTGAAGGAGACAGAGCTTCAGCTGGGGAAGAAGGAAAAGTCCTGTGGGTGGACAGTGGTGATGGCTGCACAATATCACCGAACTGTGCAGTTAAAAATGGTCAAAATGGTACACTTTACGTTATGAAAACTTTGGCACCACAAAAAAATTAAACAAGGACACAAAAGTGTGTACTCGAATGTTCATAGCGGCATTATTCCTAACAACCAAAAAGCTGCTGAAACAACCCAAATGTCCACCAACGAATGAATGGAGGAACAAAATGTGACAAAGCCACACAATTAAATATTCTTCAGTCGTAGAAAGGAATGAAGCATTGTTACAGGCGACAACGTGGATGAACCGTGAAAACATTATGCTACACGAAGGAAGACACAGGACAAGTATTTTATGATTTCATTCATATGGAATGTCCAAAATAGGCCAATCCAATAAAATGGGAAGTAGATTAGTTGGTTGCCTAGGGCTGGGGGGGTAGGAACTTCTAATGGGTAAGGGGTTTCTTTTTGAAGGGGTGAAAACTTTCTAGTGATGGCTGCACAACTTCATGAATATAGTAAAACCACTGAATGGTACACTTTCAAATGGTATATGTATTACAGCCTGTGAATTTATGGTCTGTGAGTTACATCTCAATTTTTAAATGTTTTTAATTAAATGAGCAAACTGATGATTCATGTGCCCTGTTCATGTCTGAAGCCTCGAGCATATCTTGAGTAGATCACCGATAGTACTATTTTAATAATGCAGAAAAGAAAAATCTTTTCCTCAGGTTTTGTTACTAAGCAATGCGTAGGTAGGATAAACTCAGGGTGTGGTTTGTGGCATGGCCACTAGATGGCACCCTCTCCACTTATTCGCCAGTTACTTCCCGCCCTGCTAAGAGCGTTCCTCTCTCCCATCCATCTAGTCTGGGGTTTATTATATCCTGGCAGTTAGGTTTGAATAGAGAGAAGGATTTTCCAGAATCACATCATAATGTAACGTGCTGCATCAGGAGGTCAAACAGGCCGATGGCACGTCTCGTGGGATGAGTTTCAGGAGCAACCCCACAGACCACTGGGTCTTGGGGAGTAAGAGGCTGAGTACTGAGGCTCACATGTGATGCTCCCCAGAGCCGGGGAACCAGTAAGAAAGTAAGTGAACCCCATAAGAGTAAATATGTCAACAAAGATGGTGAAGCCGATGGAATACTCAGCCTAATGAAACCGGTCCTGATCTGGCCTCGGGTTTTCCCAGATGTTTCTCAGTGCTGTAGATTTAAAAAGCTGACACATCAGAGATGGGATCTACAGTGTGGCTTCCGCCCATTCCATTAAAATCCGCTCCCTCCTGAGACCGCGACGAGACCAGGATGGCCACGTGTTAGGATCCGATGGAGAGCTGTCAAAACTTGGAAAAACCCACTCCAAATAAATTGAAAAGAAACCTTCTGGATGGGATCTGCCAGGCGAATCCAACCCACGGCCAGGGAAGAGAAGTGCTGAGCTGGAGAAAATCAGGCTGGGAGACAAAAAGAGAAAGCCTGCTTTCCCCACTCCCTTCTGCTCCGTTCCCCGAGGGGCTGCACTTGACCGCAGGGGACACAGAGCTCCTGGGCCGGTGACCTCGAGGATCAGGGTGAGGGAGCAAAGCTGGCCCGAGTGGACAGCACCCTTGGAAACGTGAATTCACTAATGTCAGCAGATAAAATTGCCCCCCCGCCTCAGTGGTGGGACCCCTCAGAAACTCCATGCTAGACATAACAGGGGTGTTTCTCAAAAAACTTTAAAAAAAAAAGAAATGTTAGCTTTGAAAAACTGCGTGTTATGGGTGGTGAACATACGATGCAAAATACATATGACTTACTGTTGCACTGACACTTACTGGATTTCATTAATCGATGTCACCATAATAAATAAAAGAATAAAGAAAAGAAAAAAAAATTTAAAAAGTCTTAAAAAGGTAGACCCACCACTGAATTCCTTCTTGAGGAAGTACTGGAAGCTCTGCCGGCCCTTGGGGTCCCGGATCAGCTCGCTGAAGTTGAAGGCCCACCGCTCTACCCGCATCTTGGTCGGCGTTTCCACCCTGGGGGGTGACAATCCATCAATGCACCAGACGCTCAGCGCAAGGGGGGCCGTGCCAGGCAGTGGCCTGGGTAGCGGCGAGGGGTTTTAGCGCCCCACTAGCCTCCGTGAATCCCACGGCCCAGAGCTCGACCCAACATCCCCCCATCCCCACTTCTGCACAAACGTCCAATCCAAATAATCACTTGGTAGGAGAATGCAGCCCCAGACGAGTCTGCTGGCCACTTAGCGGGAGCGGGCCACCCCGAAGGGGAGGGGGATCCCCACAGCAGAGAGCCTCACACTCCGGCCACTCCCTTCGCCTTCAGGGATGCCTCCTCCGAGGCCCGTGGGGACAGCCAGCCGAGGGTCAGGTCGCCACACTGGACCAGGAGAGCATTCCAGAGCAGCACTGGTGATGGGTGCTATGGCCACCGGCTCCCCACCTCCCGGCCCCCCAATGCCTGTCATCGCTGGAGAGCACCCCCTTCACCATGGGAACACACTGGCATCTGGAGATTTCTCCTGTACCTGCCTTCAGGCCAAGCACCTCTGGGTAGACCCCATTTGTCATTTGTGCACCCTCTCCCAGACTTCCTCTAAGATGCAAGTCCCACCTCGTGTCAACGTTTTGAAAGGTCTCCTGCCCAAACCCTCTTGGGACCACCCTTTTCCTGGCCAGGCGGCCCAGCCTTCTCCTCCATGGAGTCGAACTCCACGTACCCTTGTCCACAAGGAGATTTGGGTCGCCTCTCTTATCTGTAACTGGGAGACAGGTGCAGACTCCAGAAAACCATCCTAATAACCAGAGCCCTGACGAGGAGGGAAGGCTCCCCAGAAGGAGGTTCTAGAGTCTTCCACTCTGCAACTGACATAGCAGACAAGTGACCCCAAACTCCAGATGAGTGCCCTCCTGAACCCAGCAGCTGCCCACAGAGGCTACATGGAGCAGGCGACAGGGCTACCCAGCCCTGCTTACCTGGCTAGGTCGATGCTGCCTGTATGTTCCTCATGCCCTAAGTGTGATGGCCTTGGCACTGACCTAAGCTGCAGGCTTACCAGCCCCTCCTCCCCTCTCCTCCTCCTCTCCCTTTCCGTCTGACTTGACATTTACGCCCTTCTCTTCTTCCTTTCTCCGTTAGCTGACACTCCCCCTCTGTATGACCGCCTTTGCCCACCTCCCAAACGCCTGATGTATGCAGAGGGACAGCTAGCGGCAACACCCGTTCAAACGCACAAACAGAGCTAAGAGCCAAAGAGTGAGTGGTCTAACTGCCCAGGCAGCTTTCGGCTCTGACCACCAGGAACGTAGTTTGACACTGATTAGATATCCAATATGTGAAGCCGGAAAGATATTTGTTTCCTTTTCAAAAACAATACAGTGTTACGCATAGAGTTACCATTTGACCCAGCAGTTCTACCCCTAGGTAGACACCCAGGAGAAACAAAAACACACGTCCACACAAAAACCAGTACACGGATGTTCACCGCAGCATTATTCGTAAGAGCTAAGAACAGAGACAAACCAAAAGGTTCAGTAACCGGTGAATGAATAAACAAAATGCGAGCTGTCCGTACAATGACGATTATTCAGTCATAAAAAGGGACTGAGTACTAACGCATGCTAGAACACGGGTGAACCTTAAAAGCATTATGCTAAGTGGAAAAGCTAGTCACAAAAGGCCACATATTGTATGATTCCATTTATACGAAACGTCCAGAATAAGCCAACCCATAGAGACAGAAAGTGGTTTAGCGGTCGCCTGGGGCTGGAGGAATAATGTGTGTGTGTCCGGGGACAGGGGAGGATGACAGCTAAAGGGTACAAGGCAGGGTCTTACTTGGGTGATGAAAATGTTTTAAAATTGTCTATGGTGATGTTTGCAGAACTCTATGACTATAATTTTTTAAAAAAAACATTGAATCGTACACTTTAAATGCGTGAATCGTATGGCTTGTGAATTATAACTCAAAAAACTATTAAAAAGACAAAACAAAACAAAACAGTATCTCGAATACATACAATTTGGCATTTAAATCCCAGAACTGAGTGTCATCTGTAATCCAAGGATTGCTAGGAAGGCAGCCTGACATGATGGCATCGTTGGACAAAAACTGCTCACTGTATTTGACGATCCTGAAAGGCAAACGGAAAACGATTTTCCCAGAAGTTCAACACCCAAGAGACTGAATCAACACTCAGGATGACCGGCCTGTCCTCCTTTCCTGACAGATTTATTACACACTTACCCGTCTTCTTAGAAAAATGCTCTAACAAGGCTCAGATTGGTGGGTATTTGACAAAATTGGTCCCTATTCTACTTAAAACAAAATGCTGCCTCCCGACCCAATCCCTACGTCATTAAAAACACCATCTCTTTACATTGCGTCATGAGTTTTCAAAGCTCAAAGCAGACTCAGTTTGTTCAAAGGGGCACGTGGCGCCATCTTGAAAGCACGAGGGCGCCGGAGACTTGCTGGGGTTCTGCCCACGTGCTGAGGCCCCCCCTTTGTGAGGACAGTGACGGCAGTCTGGAAACCTAGACCCAGTATTCAAAACCTAATTCCCGCTGGCTGAATTAGACCTTCTGAGCCAACACATTTTCTGGCGTCTGGACAGGGCGGAAAAAGCCTGCCATCCCTCCACCCCACAGGTGGGGATGACAGCCACAGTGAACACATGGGCACTGGCCGTGAAGTCTGTCCATAGCCCCGGGAGATTGCCAGGACGGGACCCACTGCCCTAGAAACAGAGCAGAGCCCTGAGTCTGCAGTTCGGTGCAGAGCTCCCACGACCCTCATGTTTTTTGATCAGACCTTTAGTGGAGCAGCTGAAGGGAAGGAAAAAAAAAAAAAGGTCCACAGGTCCAAATACTAAAGGTGTCAAGATTATTATGTAAGACTCTGAGCCGAATAGAAATTGGAAAGCGGGGCTGAAGAAGTATCCAAGAGCCTTTGAGTCTCCTTCGATAATGTCCTTTCTGTTTGGTTGCAGAAAACTGGGTTTGTGCGACATCAAAGTAGATGGCTTTGGCTTTACCAAGAACAATGAGTATCGTTACAACCCAAAATGGATGCCCACTGAGGATACGGGAGTACGCTCATCTGTGGTCAGGAAATCTTTCGAAGGCAGAAGTCATTGGAAAATGTGATTGAGGTCAGGACACATTTTCTCAAGCAGATGGTATTTTTGCAAACTAGGGATTTGGGAAGATGTAAAAAAGATATCTGAAGATTTTTACAAGAGCCTAACCCCCAACCATATTAGAACTGGACAAGATACATCTTCCATCTCGATCAGAACTATTCTCGAGTCTTAAACAGTCTGAATAAGTAAGTCTCACCGTGCCTCCCCAGGACTAAGGCAAGTCCATTTTCACATGTGCAGAAAAATCACAGAGTTATCAAGGTGGTCCAGAAATGAACTCCACATTTCAAAGGGATAATTGCTGACATTTTGGGAGGCACTAAACCCTTTTGTGTCTGAGAGACTAAACATTCACTATATCAAATGTACATTTCTCATTTATCCTGGTTGGATTTTAAATTAAAGATTAATAATGGGACATGTGAACCAGTAAACACAACCCTAATCATTCTGAATGGGTAAGGATAGAAACGCAGGCTATTATGGACCCCCACAGGGTCCAGTGCAGGAGCTGAAAAACTCCTCCCACTTTCCCATCTGCACATTATTGGATTCTAAGAAAGATGATAGATTTATACAGAACCTCACCCACCCCTGATTTTGCCTACCAGAGTGAAGAACCAGTAACTAACCCCCAAGAGACCTCTTTGTCCCTCAGAGTTTATTAGGCTCTAAGCCAGCCCTTGACTTGCCAAGTCTGCCTTAAAGCAGAAGTTCTCTTCTTGTCTATCTACTGTTCAAACCTCAGCAAGACCAATAAATTGGGGACATACCCGCCAAGGGACACCGAGGACTTCACCGTGGACCTCATTAAGGCCTGCTGGTAATACATGATCTGGAAAAGACACGGTCGTTAGAAGATGTCCTACATCCCCACTCTTGAGTGTCCCTAAACACTGACATTTACATGTGGCCTCTGGAACCAGCAGCCATATACCCATCACAGCACCCGATTCCGTTCCCTGAAGCTGGCCACCTCAGTACCAAGTGGACTCGGGCCCTCAGTAGATGGGTAACCCCAGACTCCAAATTAGGGGCCTCCTTAACCTGGCATGTGTCAGTCTGGGAAAAGGCACCAACTGAAAAATAAAAGTTCTAAGGAACATGAAATCAAGACACAAGGTCAGATGTTTAGCGTTTCCCTCATGTGCCTCTGACTGACAGAAGCAGATCTAACCTCGATGGCCCTAGATACGAGATTTGCCAAAATAACGTGCTACCCTGGACAGATTCTGAACAGCCCTGTAATTGTGGGAGCAGGGGCCAGGGCAGGGGTGCAGATGCTCCACTGCATTTGCTCCCATGTCCCTCAGATCTATGCCTTCTGAGAGTGTTTCATATCCTGAGTCTCAGCATCAGCCCCATTCAGACCTTACTTAAGATGCTTTTCCATTCTGTGCTGTCCGTTAATTTGGAAACAATCCTTTGAACTTTACGCGTGGCTTTCCTTTCATTACTAACTGCAGAGCAGAAAGCCAAAGTACACATAATTTGTTAGAGGATTTAAAATCAAACTTCCCTGGATATGAGAGACTAATTACCTCTTTTCTGACAGCAATGATTGTTTGTTTCTGTAAAACAAAGAAGCAAAAGCTATTAAACAGATGTCATGAAATCATTACAGTTCAAATACCCATTTGAAAAATAAAAATGTTCTCCCCATGAGGAAATTGTCCATCTTTTCTTGTTTAAAAGATAGAATTTCCCCCATCACCACCACCTCCATCCAATTCGACACAACCACTGGAGAATTAGATAACTAAGCGATTTGGTGAGGGAAGGGGTATGATTTACCACTACAACTTTACCCAGCTCTCCTAAAAGCCAAGATGAATTAAAGAACAAGCTTGGGGTTGGTCCCATCATGTCTACGGAACCATCTTAAATGGAACGAGAGATAAAGATGGGGAAACTCGTGTGGAGCTTGAGTATTTGTTTCCTTTCTCACAGGAGAGAGAGAGAGAGAGAGATCTGAATGAACGGTGAGATTCATTCCTCAGGCATTCAGAACAATCTGACCAATTCCATAAGTTGGGGGATGGGGGAGGAGGCGGTAAGCCACGCTGCCAAAAAATAAAGCACACGTTTAAAAGACTCGAGACCCGCAGCCACTGAAAGCCGAGTCCCATAGCTGAGCCGTGATGCGGAAGATCGTATCAGGCCCCATGCTCTGCGTGAAGCTGCCTGTCGAAGCACGTTCACGCCAGGACTGGGCAGCAGCAGGCTGTCCTGCCTCTGGATTTTTTTCAGTTATGGCAGAGAAAGGACGGCGCCCAGAGGGATTCCATGTTTGGGCTCTTAGAAGCTTCTGGAAACCATTCAGACCTGTCTCCTACTAAAATCTTCTACACGCCGACGTGCTTCCTTGGTATCTCTTTGCTGCTCCACGCGGCCCCTGGAGGCTGGGCACAGCTGGTGACCCCAGTCTCAGTTTTCCTCGGTTTGGTTGTGGCCGGGGGTTGCCTGGTGCTGACTCTTATACTGTTAGTTGACCATCCTAATTTCTAGCTGTTAGTATCAATGCTACTTTACACACCTGGGTCTTCACTTGCAATACGGTCAGAAGTCCGAGGAGGACTCTATTTAGCCAGTGAGCAAAACGACCACTGCCCGTGAGACCGCTGACAAGGAATGAAGGAGGGTCCAGTCCAGGATGTCACACACTCCTCCCGCCTGTCTAATCCATGCCAGGTTTTATTTTGGTCTCTTAGATTGCTTTTATGTAATTGCTTTTCACAGGAAATCCTTTTTCCTGGGTGGGGGAGTGGGGAGAGTTATCTCAGAAAAGTAGGTCTCAGGTAGGTCTCTTGATGTGAACTCACACACACCTGACACCCTCCTTCACAGCATTTATCACAATTGTAATTACATATTTGTTTTGTTTGACTTTGTTTGATATACATACCACCCGGTAGACACCATTAAGAGCAGGCCAGCCATGTCTACCTTCCCTAGCACAATGTCTGGCACCAAGGAGATGCTTGTGTTCAGAGGCCTAAAAAATGGAGACGTATTCTAAGCTTAATAGAATATTTGTCCACTTAAAAAGTTGAAGACACTCCCCAAATGATCCAAATAGTTTGGCAACCACATTGATTATTCATTCTCATTCTGTCTCAACACAAGGCACTGTTTTGGAAGACACACATTTCAGGTAGGAAAGTCCCCTGGGGCCGCAGCAGATTTGCATGCAAACCTAAGATAATAAAATTCTCTGTTAAGAGTCTGTTGAAATGGTTTAAAAATAGTATCTACTGGTCTCTGCCCTCTGCTCAAAGAAGGAGCTGGACTGTTGCATAATAATAACCACTTAGCCATTAGTGCAAAGCAATTGACACCTCTTTGCGTCCTTACACAGTTTGAGGGAGAAAGGTTTTATTATTCTGATTTTCAGCTGAGGAAACTCTGAGGCTCTGAACAAGCATCTCAGCATCTCCTGGTCCATAATTGGTTGAGCCGAGATTCAAACCGATCTACCCTTTTCAGAGCTGAGGAGGGATCCCTAAGAAACAGAAAAAAATGCCCACTGTCATCACCGATTCCCTCCGGAAGCTGAGAATGCTACAGAGTGGAACGACTCTGTCCAGCCATTTCTTGTCGAATTAAAACAAAAAGAGGCGGAGCCCCAGTCACAAGATGAAACACAAACACAGGAAACACTCTTTAATTAACACTAGTGATGGTAAAACAAACTCCCAGCTGTAAGATAAATAAGCCCTGGGGATCTAACGCGCAGCCTGGCGACTTTAATCAGCAACGCTGTATTGTATCACGTACTTGAAGGTTGCTAAGACAGGAGATGGTAAATGTTATCACCACACACACACACACACGAAGCTGTAATTATGTGACGGACGTCGGAGCTAACTAACCTTATTGTCTTAATTATTTTGTAGTGTATACATGTATCTAATCATCACCTCTTACACCTTAAACTTACATAGATTATACGTCAATGATAGCTCAACAAAGCTGGGGGGCCGGAAACAGTAATTACGGTAAAGATCTCAATCGTATTAGGCCTGAGCTGGGCAGTCAGCCTCCTAAACACCCTCCTTCAGAGTGCCCAGGGCTCAAGATAAAACTTCCTATTGGCCACTGATCTGTGGTCACGGGCCCCTGAGTGGACAATCACAGATGAATTGAGCCAGATTCTCCGTCTGCCCTGATGTCCTCTGGGCCCCCTGGGGAGCTGGCTTTGTAAGTCACTTCTAGTCTGACTTCAGCCTGATATGTTTGTTTCTGGGGCCATTATCTCAGTCCTCAAGATTCGAAAAAAAAAATTTTAGATTTTAATGCACGTCGTTTGCTTTCATTACCCTTTTAGGGCCCTGCATTGGTGGTGTGGTCTGCTGTTGGTTTTCTGATTCCCAGAATTACCGGCTATCTTCTGGGAATCAGACAGCAGCTAGCTCCCTAATAATAGGATGCAGGTGAATCTGAGGTTTTCCCACCTCCACCTTGGACTGTCCATGTGGATTTTAGCGTTTATGTCTAGCCTGAAAAATAGTTGTCCCTAGGATGAGCTTCCCCTAGATTGACACACAGAGTATCTCTGTCCTAGGGAGGGTGCATCGGGACAGTGCAGGAGAGGGTTTTGGACTTCTCCAAAAGATCGAGAGAGATTTTGAGGGGGTTGGGGGAGAAACAATGTGGCCTTTGGGATCAGACCAAGGTCAAAATCCTGGTTATCACTTATTGGCTACGTAACTTTGGATGAGTTATTTCCCATTTCAAAGCCTCTGATTCCTCATTTGTAAAAGGGGGTAGTAGAAGAAAAAAGGGACTAAATAAGCAATAGACAGGTGACTGGTATACAGCAAAGACTGAACATACAGTGTCTATTGATTTAGAGATCTCAGGACACTGATACCGAGACTATACACGGTTTTAGCCCTACTTACAAGATAAAATACAGGACACCCATGCAATATTTGCGACACACTTATACTAAGTTATTTGTTGCTTATCTAAAATTCAAATTCAACTGGGCATCCGATATTTTTATTGGCCAAATCTCATAAACCTATTAATATTATTGTTACTTAGCCAAAGGCCGTAAGAAACATTCGTTTAAAAATAAAGTCGTTAAAAAATATATACGCACAATTCATAAGCAAATCAAAAAAAACCACCTTATAAACTAAGAAATAAACATTTTTTTTTCGTCCTGGCATTCATGTACAAATCCCCTGCTTTCTCAACAGCTGGCCCCCCCTGGAGGGCATCATCTGAGTGACACACTTTGCACAGTAAGATTCTGTGTCTAAGGAAGGAATCTTCAAATGTTCTGCATTCTTGGAATTCTAACATATTATTTATTGCTTGCAGAGTTGCCCAAACACGGACATATCTAGCGCTTGTTTACGCAGCTCGGTGGCCGACTTGTTGGCCCTGGAACCCTGGAACCCGGATGCAGGCTACAGACAATTGTCACAGGGCAGGAAGGTCAGGGCCTTGCCCTGAGAGGCCCTCCGGCCACTGTGGACGGGAGTGCGAGACCCCAGACCCTGGGATCGGGCAGCCAGGCGGGAATCTGTGCAGAAACAGAAATGAGGGTCAGGCAAGCCATGGAGAGGAGGCCAAGATGGGGAGAACCACGAGGAATCGGGGCACACGGGCACTGAGAACAGAGAGAGGGGCAAAGTCAGAAACCAGGAGATCCAGGAACCGACACGGGTCATGCGAAGCAGACAAGAGAAGAGACCGGAGGCAGCGAGCTGTCCACGGAGACAGGAGGTCAAGGTCATGATGCTGTGAAGCATCTGTCCTGCCCGGTACTCCCTGATCAGCAGAAGCAAGACAGACCACACAACTGGCAAGGCACAGCACAAATAAAAATGCCCCTTGTCCAAAAAAAAATATATATATATATAGTATTAAGAATTTTAAGACAGCGACAGCAGAACATTAACCAAATATGGGGCTCTACTAAGTGTGAAGCCATGGACCAGTGAACAAGTCACCTGCCATGAAGCTGGCCCTGGATGCAGGACCAAAGGATGTGGCTGGGTGGGGGCGGGGGTGAGGGGGCGAGAATAATGTAATGGCAGGATGAGCGACAGCAAGGGCTGTAGAACCGGAAAGACCTAAGACTGAATTCTGGCTGGGCCAGCTCGGACGAAACTACTCAACTTCTGTTTCTGTTTTATCATATGGAAAATGGAATCGATATGACCTCTTTTTTTACCACGCTGCGTAAGAATTCGATGTCATCCAGCAAATCTTCTAGAAGCTACCTCAATGTCCGTCAAGCACATCTGGCAGGATACGGAGGGGGCTTGGGTGCCCGTGAGCAGGGGTTCAAATCCTGGCTTCTCCATTTCCAAGTCGTGTGTCTTGGCCAAGCTGCTTACTCTCTGTCTCCTCAACTAGGAAGGAGGGGTGCTAATAACACTGGTGACCTCATAGGCTGCTGTGAATCTTAACTGAGCTGTGACTAGGTGTAACGCACTTAGCCCCACGCCTGGCACACAAGGAGCTGTCAGCAAATGTCAGCGGTCAGCATCATCCCTTCCCAGCCAGCACCAGTCACCCAGGAGCCACAAGAAGAAAGCTGTTTGTGCCCATTTATGTGAGAGTACAGAGGGAACTGTCACTCACTCCCTAGCGACTCCAGGCCGAGGGCTCTGTGGAACACAGTATTTAATGCCATGAGGCCATATTTCTCTCTTTCGCCCAAAGACCAGCGCGTCTGCCCTCGTAAGTTCTGCCATTCTCAGCAGCTGTTAATGGACTAGGCAGGGAAGTTGAAACTGGCGTGTACCTTCCTCCCTCCACCGTCACCTGGGGCAGAAGCATGAGAAGGCGTAAGGACAGAAGAAGAACCCAGATAAGTACAGCCCCCCGTAGTGGGATCCAGGTTCCACAGGGCTCCATCAATTATCTCCCGCAGCATGGTCACAGTAGCAACAACAATGGCTGCTGTGTGCGGAGCACCTTGGCATGTCGGACACCATCCTACACCTGTCACATGCATGTCTCATTTAATCTTCTGAAGGAGCTGTTGTTATTCCCATTTTATAGGTGAGGAAACTGAAGCTTTGAGCAGCTCGAGAGCTTGCCCATGATCACGCCGCCAGGGAGAGGTGGAACCGAGTGGGATTCGTGCTGCTGTCAACGCTCTCTTCAGCACCCTGCGCTGGCCCTTGACGCTAAATAGCCACGGTAAGCCTGCTGGGGTTGGGGGAGCACCAGCCTGGGGCGCACCTGGCCGCTGCTCTGTCCCTTACTTCGAGGCCAGATTCTCTGAAATAAAAGGAAGGTGGGGACTTTGCATGCTTGGCACCCCCATATGCCTCAAAGCCTCAAAACTGAGAGAGGACGTGTGGTCCCTGGCCCCTAGCCAGTCCCTCCCAAGGAGGGGCGGCCACCCTGACCAGCAGCCATCAGCCTGAGGAAGAGGGTCACCCAGGGCCCTAGACACCTGCCAACCTAACCAGCCTCCTCTCTGACACTTGATGGTGTTTATTTCTTTGGGGTTATTTCCTCCAATTAAGGAAAACAGATACGTTTTCAAGAATTCGCTAATTCTCAGAAATGGCCTCTCTCTTCAAACCAGCACCACACGTTCTCTGAGAGGAAACAAAAACCCGAGCCCTTTGCACTCCCAAGGCTGCGTGGAGACACTGCCCGTTCCCGCCACCCTCTCCTCTCAGAGCAGATAACCCCGAAAAAACCAGGGACACTCGGTCGACCTGGGGATACACTGCAAACAGATAAAACCCAGCACCAGCCTCCGTTTCCCTAACAGCTGGATCCGTCCCACACACCGGGCCGGCTGAGGGAGGGGACAGGCGGGAGGGCCCCGCGTGCATGAGAATTACGGTTCTTAATTCTTCTTAATACTCCACAGCAGTCAGAGCGCAGACAGGAGAAAGAGAGCTGGCGGAAGAAAGAGAGACAGAGAAGGTGATGGTAAACGAAACTGAAAGGACCTCTGCGTCCCACATCAGCACGGCGGACACAGCCCTGTCTCACACGCTCCGACTCTGAGCTGACGGAATCGCCAGCATCTGGCAAGGGATGGGCCTGAAAAGCCAGAAGACTCGCTCTCCTCCTAGGCTGACTGTGATGTGCTTTGTACCTCTCCCCTCCCCGCTCCACACCGGAGAGGTTTCCACAGCTGCCAGTTACCCACAAAAAAGGCAAATCTGCCAGCCAGGTTCAGTATTTGCCTTGATGATTCTGTTTCCATGGCGACCCAGACAACAAGGCCTCAGCAGTTATCTGTCATCTGGTGAGGGGAACACGGAAAAGGCCTCTGAAGGCTGGCAGTGCCACACATGTAACAAAGGAAGGGTCACTTTGAGTCGTGGCCAAGGGATCTAGCAATGCCCCCCAGGTGACATCCTCTGGGCGGTCCCCACGGTCATCGTGAGTTCCAGGTCCCGGAGGGCAGAAGTGCGTGTGGCACAGAACGGCCTCGCTGCCATCTCTTTCCTGCTCTTTTCTCCTTCCCCATCCATGTCCTTCTTCCTTCCTTCCCAGCACGTCCCTCCTGGCTCCCGCTCAGGCCTTAAGGCACCGCCGAGGCTCGGAGGTGACACACTAGGCTAAAGAGGTCACTGACCCTCTGCTGTCCGGAGACTCTAGACAGAAAGCAACGAAACCGCCTTAAGACTAATGTAAATGGGGTTTAGGCTGGTTTACTGGGATCAGTGGTTCTCAACCTGGGCAATTTTGACCCCCAAGGTACATGGGACAATGTGTGGAGACATTTGTGATTGTCAGGACTGGGAAGCGGGCAGGAAAGGCACGATGTGACTGGCATCTGGTTGGTAGAGGCCAGGGAAGCTACGGTGTGCAGGAGTGCCCCCCAAAGAATGATCTGGCCCAAAACAACAGTGCCATGGTTGAGAAACCCTCACCTGGATGCTCACTATTTCAATAGTTTATCTACTGCATTTCTTTAAATAAGAAACCATCATAGGAAATCGGCCATCCAGCATAAATGGTGACTTATTTGGGAGAAAGGGTCCTTTTAACACAAAAACCATAGGAGAATCTTTCCAAAGAATCCATCCCACTGAGATGCAAAACAAAGTGTGACATTCCAGGTCCTGTCATGTGGATTAGTGTTTAAACCCAAAGTGGATTCAGGGAGTTAAGTCTGGGGCCACAGTCTTCAGGGAGCCAGGGAATTGGCTGAAATGGCATGCAACATATCTGTCTGTGCATCTTTGGGCAGAATGCTTTCGTAAATTTCCTCGGATTTTCAAAGGGGAAAGTGACTCAGAAAAGTCTGAAAACCAACCATCTAGATCCCATTGGCTCCGGCCTGCATTCCAGATATCTTCTCTCTCCTCACCTAGGACCCCTGCCATGGCTTCCCCATCCCAACACTGATATCGCAGAGCCCACAGTCCTCCTCTCTCTGGCAGCCTCGAAGGGGCGGTGACATGACCCCAACAGACACAAATCGATAACAGACATGTGGACAGCTTCCTAGCCTAAAAACATGGCCTAGGCTCTGCCCAAAGTTGGCAGCAGATACCTACCTGGTTTACCTGAACTTCATTTGGATCGGTCACTCGGTCCAGGCCATAGTCCAGCACGTTGTTCATTCCTGGCTGAATGGAATGAAAATAACGTAAGGACCACAGCTAGGAGAGCCTCTAGTTTCCACTTAACTCTAGGTTATGGTCAAGCTGCCAATTGTGATACTGAGCTGAGAAGGGCCTATGGCCTAGCACACGGGGAGCTAGGAGGGTGCGTAAGACCCTCTAGATGAGCCAGTGAGCTTCACGGGGCTGTTCCACCACCACAGCATCCCCAGAACCTGACATGGTGGGACGAATGCATGCATGCATTGGTGGGTGAATGGGTAGGTGGGTGAATGGGTGGGTGGGTGGAATGATGGATGGATGGATGGGTAGGTGGGTGAGTGGGTGGGTGAGCAGATGGATAGATGGATGGATGGATGGATGGATGGATGGATGGATGGATGGATGGATGGATGGGCGGGTAGATGGATGGATGGGTGAGTGGATGGGT